CAAATCCAGGACTGGATTTCCCTTTCAAAACCTGGACTGGATTTCCTGGGACTTGGATTCACCTCCGCCAACTACCTGGTCCCCTCCTTTCTCACACCAAGGTTAGGGAACAGGAATGTGGAGTGTGACATTTAGGGATAAAGGTTAAAACACTGGGCAGGTGCAGGAAACATAACTCTTTTGGTCTCTGTCAATTCTGGGGAACTGAAATAGGAATGTGAGCCCTGACATTCCTTCCCGGGACCCCTTTCCTTTCTCGGGGTACCTGGATGAGTTTCCTTTCTCATCACCCAGCCCCCTCTCCTACTACCACTCCCACCCCATACTGAATACTTCCACGGCGCTGGACTTGGAATGATTGTCCCAAAGTGAACTTGGAAAGTGTTCCCCTGGGATGGGGACAAACAAGGAACTTAGTGGGGGGGGGTGGCTCTAGAGGAGAGAGGCTTGAGGACGCCTGAGCCCAAGCTGGGGTGTGAGTCAAAGGCCCCAGCTCAAGGTGGAAGAAATACATCTACCAATTGACACCCCCCTATTCCAAAATGCATCTAGTCTCCATAGCAACCGTAGCTCCAAGAGTGCCTCAGAAGCTGCGGCGGGGATCAGCCGGGAGGAGGGATCAGTGTGTAGGATGGGTGGGGGACCAATCAAGGGACGCTGGATTACTGAAGGCACTACTCTCACACCTGGTTACCCGGTACCTGCGGGGGATTTTGCTCTCTAGACACAAGGAACCCCCTCAGTTGAGGCAGCGGGAGCCGGCCCCTTAGGTGTTTCCGTTCAGGCTCCTGAGGTCTATGTAGCCGCTGGAATCTTACAGCAGGTTAAAGGGGGAGGCAGAGTGAATGGACACCATTTGCGATTGAGTCCCCACCCCTTTAGGGGCTCTAGAGTTCAAGGCTTTGTCCTCCAGAGGGGCAGAGAAACATGAACAGCTAAATCCGTGCATGAGAGACGCTGAGCCCCTATGGAGGAGGGTAGTGGGCTGGGAGAAAGAGAGTCTCCCTGAAGACTTGGAGACCCCTGCCCGGGATTTGGAGAGTCTCGGCGGTCCTTAGGTCTGGCTTTCCACCCTCTTGATGCAGCTGAGACTATAATAAGTGCGGGCCGTGGGCGGCTCTTGGAGGCAAGAGCCAGCAGCATGTTCGGCCTGGTGGGGGGGTGAGGGTTGGGGGTGAATGGGGATGCCGGGAGCCCTTTGTTCTTCAGAGGCCTATACCCACTCTCTTCCAGATCTTGGAGGTCAATGGTTTCTTAGGGAGTGCCCTTCAGAGCTAGGATGACACATCATGAAGGAGACACACTCTAGTCTATCATGAGCATAAGGGGGAATTGTTGGCTTTTTAATATTGGGGGAGGGGTTTCTCAGTTTTCATTCATGTTCAGTGGGAACAGAAGTCTGTCTCACTCAGAGTAGAACAAATTACTTATGAAAAGTAGAGCCTCGCCAGGTGAAATATGGTGCACCTTGTTGAGGAAGCTGAGGCAGGAGGATTGCTGAAAGTTGAAGGCCAGCCTGGGCTACACAGTGGCTTCAAGGCTAGCCTGAGACAGATGGCAGGATCCAAACCCAGTCTCAAAAAAAAAAAAAAAAAAAAAGTGGGCTGAAGTGTAGAGCGCTAGAGCATACTTGGCAAGTGGGAGGCTTGGAGGCCCCAGGTTCCGACATCCCCGCAGCGCACACCACACACAAAAATATGGAAAAAGGGTCTGCTCCACCTCCAGCCATTCCCTCTTTACCCTCCTTTTTGAGACTTTTTTTTTTTTAAATAACTGCTCATAATGTAGTTGAGTCTGAGGTTGGTTTAGGACATGCTATGTAATCCAGGCTGCCCTAGAACTCCATTCTCCTGAGACAATGGTCCTAGGATTACTGTTGTGTCCCCCATCACACTTGCTCTATTCCCCTTTCTAGAACTAAGGGGAGTCTCTTTGCCTGGTCCCAACCCCACTCTACCTCAGACAAAGGTGGGAGCTAGAGTTCTTCCCTAGGCATCCCTACTAGGTCCCCTTTCTCATCACTTAGGAAATCAGAGGAGACACAGGAGGTGTAGTTCTTCTATCAAAGGGCTGGGTGCAGGAGCTGGAAGTGACTCTAAGCTTCAGAAGAGCAAGGGGAAGAGAGAGGCATGGGAAGGGAATGGGACTATCCCACTAAAAACCGAAATCAGCCAACCCTTCCTCTAAATTGTGACTCAGTGTCAGGCGGTGTCCTCGATGGAAATTATGTATATATAATTGACATTCCCTGCCTGAAGAAGTAGCTAGGAATGACGAGAACTGATAACTGGAATGATCAGGGTATGATGGAAGATGGGCTTCTGCCTGACACACTTCACAAATGAGGAAGCCTGCTTTTGTGAGTCCTTGGGCATCCACAGGTCCCCCAGTTCCTCAGTGGTAGCCTCTCGGATGGAGAACAGGCTTGCCAGGGCCCCACCACAGGATCCAAGGCTACAGTGGGCAAGGAGGATGTGGCGGATGGTGTTGCCATGACAGCACTTCCTCCCTGTGTTGTCATCACTTACTCTAATGGCACTAAGGAGGTAGAACGGAAGGCACTAAGGAGGTGAGGGGAAGACAAGAACGGGTGCACAGGGGAAGAGAGACTGGTGCAAGTCCTGGGGGCCTCTTGTACTGCAGCACTGCAGCTATACAAAGTGTGGGGTTTTAAGGGTTAGTAGTGTGCTCAGGAACCTCATATATCACACACCCCCTCCCTTCGTGTTTCTCTCAGCTGGAGAACGAGAGGTCACTGATCTTTAGTGGGTCCTGGGAATGAACACATTATCAAGTCCCAGAACCTCCTGGCCCTGACCGTTTCCTGTTCTGGACTCCCCAGATGGAGACTCCATCTAATGGGTCTGTTACAGCCTGTCTTCCCAACGCTTACGCACTCATCTACTGCCAAGAAGGTCAGCTCCACAGTGACTAGTATTTTGCTCAGAGGCGATTTTGGAAAGAGGGATAATAATACCCCCCTCCACGTCTTTTTCCATCCTTCCCCAAATGTCCTCTTCCCGAGTCCCAGCTCCATCTTCAGAAGTAGGAAGTGGCTGCTTGAACAGCAAGCAGTTATGCTATGACACCCTTAAGCCTTTCTGTGTCCCCTGCTGCTCCCCCAAAACAGCCAAGTTAGGGCTGATGCATCTCTTACCTCGTATGTTGTCCAGTGAAGCCTGGATGCCATCTCGGAGATCAGGGTCACCCACTCTCTCTGCCAGCTTCCTGAGTCGGCTTAGAGCTTGCTTGGCCACCTCATGTCGTCTGACTTCTGCTCTTACTGTAGCTAGAGCCAACTGCCTCTGGGCATACATGTTATACAGACCTGCCTCGCCAGACTAACAACTAGCTCTAGCCCTGACGCCCATGACCCCGAAGCCCCCAAACTTCAGAAGGCCCCTTCTGCTGTGCCCCAGCACTCCTCAACCCTGCCCGCCCTTCCGTCTGTCGGCCTCACTTCCTGACTGGTGAGTTTCAAACCCACAACCCACACCGTACTACCTCTTACACCTCCTGCCCCCTCTAGCGTTGGCCCTTCAGCTCTGACAGCCAGCCCTGGGTATGATTCCTGTCAGGCGACCTTAATAAGAGTTCTCACAGCCTCTGTGGGAGGTAGCTAATTAAGATGGGTGTTGGTTCTGGGAGAATGTGGCCAGCAAGATCACAGGTAGGTCCCATACTCTTGGTGATTTGCAAATTTGCCTCAGAATCACACAGAAATCCACATCCCCTTAGTATACTAGTGTACTTTCTTTGGGGCCATTAAAGCTAAGGCTCATACTTCTAAACATTAAGCGTTCAAGTTCCAGTTATTCACCCCTCTCTACGCATTCCTATAGGCTTCTCTTAGTCGTTTATTCACTATAACTATCTCCTTTTTAAAAGACTCAAGTAGTTATGTGAAGAATGGACTATAGGGGAGGAAAGTAACCTATAGCCAGATAAAACCATGTGCTCCAAGTACAGTTTCTATTATAATAATTAGCATGTGTATAACATTTAATCATTTACAACAGACTTTCATGTATATTAAGGACAAGCCCAAAGGGTAGGATAATTTATCACTATTATGTAGAAGTGCAAACCATTGCTCAGAAAGGCCCATAACAGGTGAACAAAGATCCAATTGTACTTTTAATTTAACAGACACGAAACTGATATACTTTCCAGCCAGTTCCTCAGCACCATTGTTCTGCTCTTGACTCATGACTCGATATAGAAGAAGAACGAGGAATTGAAAGAGAAAATGGAGGTAAAGCAAGTTGGTGGGGGGTGTCGTAAGTAATGGTAGTTACCTCAATTATTTTTTTGGCATGTATATGTGTGCATGGTATGCACAGGTGTATGTATTCCTGTGTGTTCTGGCTTCATTTCTTTTACCGTGATACAATTCCGTGGCAAAAAAAAAAAAAAACCCAACTTAGTCAGCATGTGTTTATTTCTGTTTATAGTTCTGCACTGTAGCCCATTGCTGTAGGAATGTCATATATTCACTTGTTTGTTTGTGTTCAGCTGTCTACCTCCCTTTTTTTTTTGTTTTTTTTTTTTGGTTTTTCAAGACAGGGTTTCTCTGTGGCCTTGGAGGCTATTCTGGAACTAGCTCTTGTAGATCAGGCTAGTCTCGAACTCAACAGAGATCCGACTGCCTCTGCCTCCCGAGTGCTGGGATTAAAGGCATGTGCCACCACCATCCTGCTTCCTCCCCTCTTTTTTTTTTTTTTTTGGTTTTTCGAGACAGGGGGTTTCTCTGTGTGACTTTGGAGCCTATCCTGGCGCTCGCTCTGGAGACCAGGCTGGCCTCGAACTCACAGAGATCCTCTTGCCTCTGTCTCCTGAGTGCTGGGATTAAAGGCATGTGCCACCAATGCCCAGCCTACCTCCTAATCATGAATTATACAATTCATGATTTCCTAGGGAATGGGGCCGCCCACAGTGGACTGGTTCTTTTCTTATCAATTAACTGAATTAAGAGACCCCCCCCAAAGAGACATACCCACAATCCAACCCCATGTAGACAAAAATCTTTCCCTGAGCCTCTCTTCTCAGATGATTCTAAACCCTGTCAACACAGGTAAAACTACTCATCACAGCGTGTGCGTTTGGGTGTGCATCGACATATGTGCCTTTGTGTGGGTTGATCCAAGGTTGAGGTTGTGTGTCTTCCTTGATTGCTCTCCACTATATTCATTGAGGCAGGGTCTCCCAGCAAGTCTAGAACTTTCTGACAGGCTAACCTAGCCAGTTTGCTCTGAAGACCCCTTGTCTCCGCCTCCAGAGTGCCAGAGTTACTGGCAGCAGCCATGCCTGCCTGGCCTTTGTGGACACCCTGGGATACAAATTCTGGCCTTCACACTTGTACAGCGAGTACTTTATTCTGAGCCTGTCTCCTAGGTTTCTTCATCCCCAGCCTATCTCCCTAGCTTTGACCTAATTATTTTGTTTCAAAGACAGATTGAACCTATATGGAGATAGCAAATTATTTTCTTTTGTATAGCTTCTTTTAATTTTTTTTTTCCGAGACAGGGTTTCTCTGTGGCTTTGGAGCCTGTCCTGGAACTCGCTCTGTAGACCAGGCTGACTTCAAAATCACAGAAACCCGCCTGCCTCTGCCTCCCGAGTGCTGGGATTAAAGGTGTACACCACCAACGCCTGACTATGTAAAGCCTCCTGAGTACTGGGACATAAAGGTGTGCACCATTATGGACCAGCCAGTATTTATTTATTTATTTATTTATTTATTTATTTAAGATTTTATTTATTTATTATGTCTTCTGCCTGCGTGCCAACAGAGGGCACCAGATCTCATTCAAGGTGATTGTGAGCAACCATGTGGTTGCTGGTAATTGAACTCAGGACCTCTGGAAGAACAGTCAGTGCTCTTAACCACTGAGCCATCTCTCCAGCCCCCCAGCCAGTATTTATTTCATTCAAAAATTTATTTATTTTCTGTGTATGAGTGTTTTGCCTGAACATATGTATGTGTGACTTGTGCGTGCCTGGTGCCTCCATAGGTAAGAAGAAAGTATTGGGTCCCCTGGAACTGGAGCTATGGATGGTTGTGAGCCACCATGTGGGTTCTGGGAACTGAACTCAGTGCTCTTAACCTTGGAGCCAACTCTCTAGACTATCATGCATATTTTCTTGAGGATGGTTTAGGAAAAGTAAGTGTGTGAATGTCTTTATATTCAGAGATCAAGGGGTTGAGTTTGGATTATTTATTGGACTCCATAAAAATGGGCTAAACAGTTGTTTCTTTTGTTTAAGATTTTATTTATTATGTATACAATGTTTGGCCTGCATGTATACCTGCAGGCCAGAAGAGGACACCAGATCTTATTATAGGTGGTTGTGAGCCACCATGTGGTTGCTGGGAATTGAACTCAGGAGGACCTCTGGGAGAGCAGTCAGTGTTCTTAACCTCTGAGCCATCTCTCCAGCCCCCTGGACTAAACAGTTGTTAACTGAGTGTTGCTAGGTACTGGGTATTAACTCAGACATTTTATAGATCCTCGCTCATTTGGTGCTCACAACAGAACAGAAGTTGTTAGGGAAGTATCATTAGAGGTGGATGCATTATTATCTATCCCCATTTTATGGATGAAGAAGTAGGTGCAGAGGCCTTAATAAGTGCCTGGCCCATACAGATACTAAGTCATAAAGTAAAAAACTGGTTTACTTTGACTCCAGCACAAGACTAGACTGTAGGCAGGTCACATGATGTGAGCATACATAGACTCCAATCACCGTGTGGAGTTGATGGGGAGGTGTTTTTTTTTTTTTTTTCATTTGTTCCCACCAAGGTCACTTCTTTGTCCAGGAGGAAGGGAAGGGTTGCACCATTTCTCACTCCTATTCAAAGGGCACTATGTCCAGATGCTTATGTAATAGCATTGTTGGCTAGCCACCCATTATTCCCCCCCTTGGAGTGAGAATATGAAGAGTCGGGGCTGGAGAGATGGCTCAGGGGTTAAGAGTGCTGTCTGTTCTTCCACAGGACCGGGGTTCAATTCCAGCACCCACGTGACAGCTCACAACTGTCGGCAACTCCAGTTCCCAAGGGATCCAACTCCCTTGCACAGACATTCAGGCAAAATGCCAATGCACGTAAAGTAAAAATAAATAAATTTAAAAAAGAAAGCATGGATAGTCTTCATTTATTCATAGTCCAGTCCTGCCCTCACACCTTGTATTATTTTGAGCCAGCCCAGCATCAGGTACGTATGTATTGTAAAGATGTACACCAGTGTCTGCGCCTGTGGTTTTGTGACAAACAGGAATGAACCGGCCTCAAGTCACTGTTTCCACTCGAATTTCTGGCATGTTCACACTGCAGAGGAAGGAATGCAGAACAGAACATGCGTACTAGTAGACACATTTAACAAATGCTAAGCAGTGGTGGTGGACGCTTTTAATCCCAGCACTCGGGAGGCCGAAGCAGGTGGATCTCTGTGAGTTCGAGGCCAGCCTGGTCTACAGAGCGAGTTCCAGGACAGGTTCCAAAGCTACAGAGTAAAGCTGTCTCGAAAAAAAAAAAAAGAAAAAGAAAAAAACAAATGCGTGGGGATTTGCCGGCAGTTGCTATGTCTGACTTGGATCCTCCCTAGCTGGGCTACATAGTTCAATATTTGGTTCCTCTTAGTGTTCCAGAGTATGACGCACGACCAACAAAACGATGGCATCGTCCTGAAACATGGGGGAGCCAGCGGGAAGGGTTATTCTTGGAAGGGCGGAGCCCCTTCCTCCCCCCTCTACAAGCCCCTCCTTTTCTGTTCACCTGAGTCCCCCAAGTCTCTCCTCGGACTCCTAGAGTCGCCGCAGGGAGCACAGGCTTTGAAGTTTAGGCTCTGGTCCCTAAGAAACTGTCTAGAAACCCTGTCTTCTTCTTCTTTTTTTTTTTTTTTAAGTTTCGTCCAATGAAAAAACCGAGGGAAGGACTAGGAGGCGGGCTGGTGACGTAATGTAGATTGATTGGCACTGAAATTCTGGATGTCCTGGATTAGCCACGAGTTTCGCCAATCCAGAGGCAGGGGTGGGACGGTGCAGGCGCAGAGAATTGGTTTGGCTGGCTTGGATTTAAAGCGATAGAAGCTGTTGGAGTCCTACAAGGCAGTCCCCGATACCCTCCCCTCAAGTCCTTGGGGCCATTTGGGTCCCCAGAACTGGGGAGATGGTTTGCGGCGGATTTGCCTGTTCCAAGAATGCGCTGTGCGCTCTCAACGTGGTTTATATGGTGAGGTTTTGGGAGTGGGGAAAGCTCTGGGGCGGACAGAATGGGGAGAATTTCTAGGGGACTTCCGGTGGGGAGAGGGGTTTACTAGGGGTTCTGGGAAGCTTTCCAGAAACTTCCGGCGAAGAGGGAATTCCTGGGTACTTCCGTGGAAGAGGAGAGACTTCCGGTAATGAGGGGGCTTGTGTGGTGGTGGGGAGGGGTGAATCGAGGACTGTGGGCCTACAGTCCCAGTCTCCACCTGTGCTCCGGTTTCTTCCCAAAATAGAGACGCCGGACAACCCTAAGGAGTGTATCCTGAGACGCTACTGCCGTTGCCCCACTATCCCAGATATTCCCAGTTACTTGCGAAGCGCGTCCAGGAATGAGTAGCTCTGAAAGCACACCTCCGCTGCCTGCCGTACTTAGTTCACGTCCCCTTGTAATAGCCTTTGGCAGTGCTGCATGGTAGAGTTCTTTGGCGATGACAGGGTCTCATTATGTGGCTAGCACAGGCTAGCCTGAACTTTGCTGTACTGCGGTTTGCAGGGATTACAGGTGTGAGCCACCACATCAGGCTGAAATGTATTCTACTTTCTGTTTCTTGCAGCTTGTGGGCTTATTGCTCATTGGCGTGGCTGCCTGGGGCAAGGGCCTGGGTCTGGTGTCCAGTATTCACATCATTGGAGGAGTCATTGCTGTGGGAGTCTTCCTTCTCCTCATTGCAGTGGCTGGGCTCGTGGGGGCTGTTAACCACCACCAAGTGCTGCTCTTCTTTGTATCCTGACCTGGAGTGATTGGGGTCCCTGGGCAGGCTTTTCCTAAAAGGGTTTGGGAACCTCAGACACGTCTGTTCTTACTGTGTAATTCACAGAAGTTGATTTTTTGTTTGTTTTTTTCGAGACAGGGTTTCTCTGTATTGCTTTGGAGCCTGTCCTGGAATTCACTCTGTAGACCAGGCTGGCCTCGAACTCACAGAGATCCGCCTGCCTCTGCCTCCCGAGTGCTGGGATTAAAGGCGTGCACCAACAGGCCGGCAGTGTGGCTATTTTTTAATTCCCCATGACTCGAAGGCTAGTGTTCCAGCCCCAACAAACAAGATAGGATTCTTCTCTAAACACCACTGGTGACACAGCTGTCTCTAGCTGTTTCCACAAAACCAGGCTGCACACATGAGACACCAATGCCTGGCTTAGAAGTTGATTTTTTTTTTTTTTCTCAACTTGATAAGACTAGTTTTAGGAACAGAGAAGGGCCTTGAACTCTGTCCCCTTGCCTGCCACATTGCGGTTACAAATTACACTGGGTGAGGTTTTAAAAACACACAAAAAAATGGGATTGTGCTACATAACCCTGGCTAGCCTGGACCTCACACCAGGCTGGCCTTCACACTGATATTTTAAATGGAAACTAGATCTCTTTTTTGCCATAACTACTTCTCAGTACATGATCATCCTTGGCTTGGTCTTCATCTTCCAGTTTGCAATCTCTTGCTCTTGTCTGGCTATCAACAGAAACAAGCAGGTAAGGCGGTGATGCTTTTCGTGCTTGCTATCTCCACCTTTGAAGATCTGTTAACGTGATCCTTGCACACCTTCATCCTTGGGTCCACTACTTCAGAGGTGTGTGCTTCCTCTGACATGTATGGTTAACTCCCCAAGATGTAGTCAGAGAGAACCTGAGAAAGACACTAGGCACTGTCTGTGACCATGATGTGCCATCCTGTTTCTGTGGGAGGCTGATTGCATTTGCCAGAATAGGGCGATTGAAGCATGTGAACCGAGAGTGGAGGGTAGGGACATTAATGTTCCTCTGCCTGTATGTGTGCTCTAGATGGATGTCATCAACGCGTCCTGGTGGGTCATGAGCAACAGTACCCGGCATGAATTGGAGAGAAGTTTTGACTGCTGTGGTTTGTTCAACCTTACAATGCCGTACTTACAAGATGATACTTCCTGTGGTGCAGTAAGTTGAAGGATGGGTAGTGCATCTAAGAGGAAATGGGTAAGGGCCATACCCAAATAAGTGACCTCAGTGTGAGCCGTGAGCCATGAACTGGGCTGTAAGGATTCAGCCAAGTGGGACTCCAGTCTGGGAACTGTTCAAATACCAGCTATTTCTGGGGACATTCATTGTGGCAATTTGGATGGGGAAGGCTAGCAGCTTTGCATTCTGTTTATTATATTTTTGTCGGCAGATGTGCAAGACCAGAAGTTCTGCATGCCAGATGTGTGGGGAGAAGTTCCTCAAACATTCGGATGAAGCCCTGAAAATCCTAGGTGGTGTTGGCCTCTTCTTTAGCTTCACAGAGGTAATGATTCCCCCTTCCTCACACAGACACCCCTAAGCCTTAAACCCCAAGATCCAAAATAACTTTTGCTCTCTCCCTCTCCTGCAGATTCTTGGTGTTTGGCTGGCAATGAGATTCCGGAACCAAAAAGACCCCCGAGCCAACCCCAGTGCCTTTCTATGAGACTTCTTATCTTTCAGATAGGATCTTTGAAGCCTAGGCTGGTCTCCAACTTGCTATGTAGCCAAGGATGACCTTGAGTTCTGGATCCCCCTGCCACAGCGACCCAGTGGTGGGGTTACAGGTGTGTCACCACACTCAGCAAGTCTCTGGATCCTTGCTTTTGCTCTCCCCTCCTAAACTCCTGAAAACCTAGGTGTGGTTCTCCCCCGACACATGTTGTTTGTTTTAAAGAACCTAACCCACTAAACCTAATTAAGTGGTTAAACTTTTGTTTTTACAAATTTTGATGGAAACAAGATATAGGGAAAGAAAAACTTAATACCTCTTTCTGGGAGAATATAGTATTACTCCTAGAAGCATGGATGGGAGCTGGGAGCTTTTCCTAACTGTTTTCCCTCACTTAGACACCCTAGCCTGGCTCCAAGGACAAATCAGAAAATACCAGGGGAAACAACTTTTGTGGGGAGCGCGCCAGGGCTACAGCCCAGGGCCTCACACATGATAGGCAAGTGTTTCTATCATAGCAGTCTTACCCAGGCAGGACCCAGAGTGAAGCAGAGACGTAAAACTAAAGCCATTTTAACTGAAAACAAAAACAAACAAAAAAAACGAGAAAGGATAGAAAGGTCCTTTTCAATCTTGTCAGCCAAACAGCCGGACTGCCTAAGTCCTGTGTGACAGCCTACAGGTGTTGCAGAGAACCCTCTTGCAAGTGGGCTCTCAAATCTCCCAAAGGCAAACCCAATCAGAAAAACATTAAAGGGGTGAAAAAAAAGACCATATTTCTTTGTCTTTTTTTTTTTTTTTTTTTTTTTTTTAAAAAAAAAACCAGTATAAATCAGGGAGGGAAGAAGACAGAGACACCCACCCTTTAGTGTAGAGAGAGAGAGAGATGGGAGGGCAAGAGGACAAGCCTCATAGGGAGGGGGGAATGTCATTTAAGGGTTAAAATATTCTCTGTAAAAAACTGGAGGTGTCTCCACAGCCCCAGAGGAAGGCACAAGTTGAGGTTCTCGCTGTCGCTCAAGTGTCCCAAGGAGAGGAGAGGCAGCTAATCTTCTCACTCTGGGTCACTCTCTTCCTTGTGCAGGTAAGAGTGCTGCAGGGCTCGGAAGGCAGAAATCCGCTTATGTGGGTTAAAAGTCAGCATCTCCTATGAGGGGAGGCAAAGGTCAGAAACCAGCCGAGGGGGATGATGCCCACCCCAAAACGCTGTGCAGGTGTTTCCTGCATCCTACCCTGCTGGCCACTCATAGCAACAGGAAAAACTACAGCCTGTCCACTAACTAGAACTTGGTTCCACAATGGCCTTGGGCCCTGTGTTGTTTCTTCTATGTTCATTGCATGTTCAAGGCAATGCTCACATAGAAATCAGGTTAGGACAGTCTGGAATGCCGGTACTTCCCTTCCGCCTTGTTTGAGAGTTTCTTGTTAGTGCTGTATTAACCAGACTATCTGACCTGTGAGCTTCCAGGGAATTCTATCTCCACCACCCATTTGGTATTAAGAGACACTATAGAAGCTCACTGACACATAGCTTTTACTCGAGTTCTGGGGATTCAAACTCAGGTCCTTACACTTATGCCCTAAAAGCTTTATCACAGAGCCACCTCCCTGGCCCATGCCCACTACCAGCAGCAGCTGTGCTCCAGATTCCTCCATCTCCGGTACCACCGACTGCACAGGCCGCGGCCCTCTGGGGGAAAAGGCTCCTCGGGGAAGAGATACCTCTCGAGGCCAGTCATCTTCTGGGGGCAATCCAATGAGACTGTAGGGATAACACAAATCTGGTCAGGGGGGCTTTTTCCAGTTTCCATCTCCAGGGCCAACTGCCATTTGGAATTGAGCAGAAACTGAATTAAGAATGGGGAATTTTAGCCGGGCGGTGGTGACTCATGCCTTTAATCCCAGCACTTGGGAGGCAGAGGCAGGCGGATCTCTGTGAGAACGAGATCTTGTAGCCCAGCCTGGTCTACAAGAGCTAGTTCCAGGACAGCCTCCAAAGCCACAGAGAAACCCTGCCTCGAAAAAAACAAACAAAAAGGGGGGGGGGATTTCTTTCCCCTTTATTGGACACTTACTCAAAGATTTTGCCCAACTGGTCAGCTTCAGAGTTTCCACAGAAGAGAGGCCTAAGGTAGAAAAATATTCCAAGTATATATTATTTCAGAAATAAGGGAATGATAATCAAAGTGGCTGAGATTAGAGAGGACGGAGAATAAGGGAACACAAAGTTCCTAATTCCTAGACATTTCAGGAAATTTGCCTGCATCGTTTCTGGTTTTAGGCAAGTTGGTGAACATAAACAGGATAGGTTGGGACTATAGCTGGGTGGCAGGGCACGCGCCTGATAAATACAAGAGCCTAGGTTGGGGCGTCCAGTGCCATATGCACAAAAATGGTCAAGAACGGGTATGTCTTGTAAAAAGACCCAGGGGCGGGGAGTGTAGTTTAGTGGTATAGAGCATTTGCCCAGTGTATGTGCAGTTCTGATTTCAACCTCTAACACCATAAGTAACATCAAAAGATTTGTGTAACTGAAGGGACCTAAGAGTTCCACACCCTGAGCCAGGTGGTGGCGGCAGGCGGATCTCCGAGGGAGTCACAGGACAGCCAGGGCTACCCTGTCTCAAAAAACAAAAGTTTCAAGCCCCGTACTTTCGACGAAACATCTCTGCAAAGATACAGCCAACGCTCCACATGTCCACGGGTGTTGCGTATGTAGACTGCAGAAGAACTTCAGGAGCACGGTACCAGAGTGTAACAACCTAAACAGAAGAGGAGAAACGAGTGAGAGTCCTTTTCATGGCTCATAGCTGCTGGGCTTTGAGAACGTCAAGCACAACACACCTCAGCTGCTACGGGAAATCAAGTACTACCTAAAGCCGAATCCCATTGGGGCTGCCATCTTTCCACTCACCACAGGTGTGAGGGCCATCTGGTAGCTGTAGATTCTGGCCAGGCCAAAGTCAGCCAGCTTGACTGTCCCATTACTAGTCACCAGAATGTTCTCCGGTTTCAGGTCTCGGTGAACAATGCAATTTGCATGAAGAAAATCCAGGCCGCTTAGAAACTGTCGCATCAGGTCCTGGTTTTGAAGGAGAAAGCCCCGGACACCATGTAACACGCTCAAAAACCCCAAGAGTCCCTACTACAAAGACCCGGATCCACCTCTCACCGAGCAGCCCGCTCACCTTGATGGTCTCAACTGGCAAGCCTGGTGGGGGTGCTTTATCCAGGTATGTCCTCAGATCCTGATCTATATGCTCAAACACGAGAGTGACCTTGATGTCTCGATCAGTTCGGGAGGTAGCACAGACATCCATTAGCCTGACAAAAATAAACAGTCGCCAGCCGGTCAATGTCCTTTGTTCCAACGTGGCCTCTGGAGTCCTAGGGTCCCACTCCCGACGACCACACCCCTGGCTTACAGATCCCATTCTTTCCTCCCCACTCCCAATCCAACCTCCTCACCGTACAACATTGGGGTGCTCGAAGGCCTCCAACCGCCTCAGTAAGGCCACCTCGCGTACAGTGCTGATGGGAAGGCCCCCTCCAGCTCCCCCTCCGTTGGGAACTCGCACACTCTTGAGGGCCACAAAGTGGCCACTGTGGGGATCTCGGGCCTTGTATACCGTCCCATAGGCACCAACACCGATTTCAGCCACCGGTTCATAGCGGGAGGTAGCCATTCTCGGAGCAGGGAGATCTCCTACAATCACAGAGGCTTCTAAAACCAAGCCCTCCTTTCCTTCACAGCTAGGAGGGGGGATGACCCAGCAGTAACAAAGGAATTCCTGCCCACGACCGCACCGACACAGCCGCCCATCCCCTCCCTCCACGCTGCCAGAGTGCCGCGCCTCAGGTAACACAAAAGACTCTCCCACCGAGCCCTCCAGCCACGTGATGTCCCGGAGGGGCGAAAAAGAATGCATTCCTCCCGGGGAGGAGGAGGGGGGAGAACGGGACATCGCACCGGGCACAAAGAAGACCATCACAATGCACGGCGTTGGCATCGAAGGTTGCACACTTTATTCCCTAAAATCACACGCTGGCCGCGACCACAAAGGCCCCGCTTCCCGCCCTTGGGCCATCCTTCCACAACGAGGGGATCCATAGGGTGGTGGCGGGGCGCCGGGCCCCATCCCTGCAAGCGGCTGCACTCACCTCTCGCCCGGCCAAGAGCTGCGGAGGTGGCCCTTTATCTGGGCCCGGGAGCCGGTTCCTGCGGCGCCATACACCGGGGATCGGTCCCGGGCAGCTGGACGCTACGGGCCAGACCATAGACACAGGCCGCGAGCTAGAGAGGCCCCCCTCACCCCCACCCTCCCCATGTGACCAGCAGCCAGGGAGGCGCGCGGAAACCGGGGGGGGGCGGGGCGAACGCCGGACGTTCGCGGCGGACACGTGGTCTCCATCCATCCATCCATCCATCCATGCATGCGCAGTGGATGACCTGGGATGGGGGGGGCGAAACTCGCTCGGGCACGTGACCTGTTGCTATCCCACGTGACCCCTCAGCTCTGCGCTGGGAAGCAGAGGCGTGGCTACGCCGCCTACCACGTGACCCGCCGCCAGTCCCTGACTGCCGAGGGGGTGTGTGGGGGCGAGGGAGGGTGGAGCACCAGGCGGTGCCATGGCAACCGGGCCAGCCGGCTCTCAACTCTGGGCTCAAGGCCGAGCCTGTGCGCATCTCTCGTCTCACTCCTTGTCTGGACGTGGGCGGGGAGGTCCGGGTGCTAGTGGGAGATCCTGGTACCAGAGATGGGACTGTCACATTTTTCACTCCAGCGCCATGGGGAAGGAGCATTCGTATACTGTGCCTTCGTTTTACTCATTCATTCAACAAAAATTTTACTAAGGGCTCCTTTCCAGTTGGTATGTGATGTTTTTGTTTTGGTGTCTCAGCCATTCGCCCTCTGAAGTAATGATGAGGGTATCTAATGTAGGCAAGTGTGGCCCCTTATGAAACAGGGAGTACGATTCCTATCCAAGAAGGAAACTAGGGCTAAAAGATGGACAGCAGGATTAATATACTCAGTCACTGTATGGGAAGAGTGGCAACGTAATGCCCTCCCCTCTTCCAACTTGCAAACCTCCCTGGGAATATTAAAAGCAACAAGGAGTTATTGGAAACTCTGTTTGTTGTTTTGTTTTTTTTCGAGACAGGGTTTCTCTCTGTAGACCAGGCTGACCTCGAACTTACACAGATCTGCCTGCCTCTGTCTCCCAAGTGCTGGGATTCTGAGATTAAAGGCGTGCACCACTACGGCCCAACAGGGTGCCTGATCTTAAAAGGCTCTTAACACTAAGATTCTGTATTGTGTTACATATGTATGTAATTGTGCATATGAACAGACAAAACGGTGAGCGTGTACAAGGGCGGTCACCAACACCACTTCAGACCACCATGTTGCCCGAGAACGTCTTGTGTCCCTCTGCAAACATGCAACTCATCATTGGTGCCACATTCCTTTTTATTTCTAATGCAGCTTTCTTAGAGCTACTCTTGCCCTTATGGGCATTTCCCAAGTGGTCTGTGCCCACAGAAATCTAGGTAGACAGGTAGATTTGGCATTCGTTGTGTTGTGGGCTCCAACTCCTTTGTTGTCTCCCACCATTTGGGGAATAAAAGACCATGTACCCATCTGTGAGAAACTCTAAAATCTAGAGCTGTTTTAAAATTGTTTTTTAGCCAGGTGGCAATGGCTCACACCTTTAATCCCAGCACGGGATAGGCAGAAGCAGGCATCATGATCTCTGTGACTTTGAGGCCTGCTTTGTCTACAGAGCTAGTTCCAGGATAACCAAGGCTACCCAGAGAAATCCTGTCTCAAAATAAAGTAAGATTGGTGGGGCTCAGTGGTTAATACTGCCTTGGCTTCCAAAGATCCTGAGTTCAATTCCCAGCAACCACATGGTGGCTCACAAGTATCTGTAATGAAATCTGGTGCCCTCTTCTGGCCTGCAGACATACACACAGGCAAAACACTATGTACATGATAAGTCTTTTAAAAAAATAAAATTGGTTTTTGAAGCCAGGGATTGGAGTCAGTGTTTTCTTCGTTCAATTCCTGTGCTATGTTCCCAAACACTAAACTCTGAAATCATATTTGAGACAGTATAGTTGAAGGGCCTTAGCTTTCTAAATGCTGTTTCTACAGACATGAACAACTACTCTGGCTCTGGCTCTGTGTGTGTAATTTTGTTTTGATGAGATAAGGTCTCATATAGCTCAGGTTGGCTTTGAAATAGACATGTAAGTGGCTGGAGAGATGGCTCAGTGGTTAAGAGCACTGGCTGTTCTTCTAGAGGACCCGGGTTCTGTTCCCAGCACCCACATGGCAGCTCATACCTGTCTGTAACTCCAGTTCCAGGGGATCTGGCATCCTTACACCAATGCACATAAAATAAAAAGTTTAAAAAAATAGACATGTAGCTAGGGTAGCTTCAAATGTTTGAATGCTTGATCTTACTGCTCCATCTCCCCAGTACTAAAGATAGTGGCATGCATCACAATCAATTTCTTTCCTTATTCCTCCTCGTCCTCCTCCTCTGTGTCTTGCCATGTAGCTCAGGCTGGCTTAGTTTGAAGACTTCAAAGACTTTGCTTTGAATCAAAGTGCTTGGATTCCAGACCTGAGCCACCACACCCAGCCTGAAAACATTTTATGACCTGGTTCACCTTGTCCTCCATTCTAATTTCTTTCTTTTCTGGTTGAGAATGTAACAGTGGTGGGGCATGGTGGCACACGTTTTTAATCCCAGGAGGGGATTGGGAGGCAGAGGCAGGTGGAGGGCCAGCCTGATCTATTTAGTAAGTTCCATGTTAGCTGGGACAATCAAACTTTGTCTGAGAGGGGTGTGGGGAGTGGATGTATATGTACACACACACACACACACACACACACACACACACACACGAATGTCAACTCTATAAACTCAAGATTAACATAAATCATAATCAAGCACAAAATGGAAGGCATATCGGGCTGATTTCCTCTTTTTTTTTTTTTTTCACACAGGTTTTTTCTGTGGCTTTGGAGACTGTCCTGGAACTAGCTCTTATAGACCAGTCTGGGCTCGAACTCACAGAGATCCACCTGCCTCTGCCTCCTGAGTGCTGGAATTAAAGTCATGCACCACCACTGCCTAGCCAGATTTCCTCTTCTGCTGCTCTGCTGCTTCTTGCTGTCAAGGAGACTGTAAGAAAAAGATCAGGGCCTAAATTGGCTAAGGGGCTGGAGAAGTGGGTGTTCTATTGGCTACATTCCTAGGGCTGTTTGGGGTTTTTAGCTTTCTGAAAGGCTAAGTGTCTGTGAGCTTATTAAACTTGCAACACTGTTTTGTTTTTTGTTTTGTTTTGCTTTTTTCCCCTGAGACAGGGAGGGTCTCACTGTGTAGCCCTGGCTGCACTGGAACTTCCTTTGTGGAGCAGGCTGGCCTTGAACTCACCCAGATCTCCTGCCTCTGCCTCCTGACGGCTGGGATTAGAGGCCATCAGTGACCGGCTTTATTTATTTATTTTTGTTTTTTTTTTGTTTGTTTGTTTGGTTGGTTGGTTTGGTCTTCCCAGTACAGGTATTACCTGCTTCTGTGTCTCTCATAGGAGCACACTGCAGTTTGCTGTCCTGACAGGAAAAACTATCTTCTTTGTCTGCTTAACTCACAGACTCCCCGCCCCCTCCTTCATTCATCCGTCCACCCAAAGCACTTGGACATTTTGCAGAAACACGACTGCCTTCGCCACCACTTCCCATTGAGGAGTCTCAATTTGGCAATCTGTCTCTGGTTCGACTTTCTCATCCCTTCTCTGTTAATTACTCTTTTACTAATTAATTTTTTTTCTCAGTGTCTTTGACCCGGTGGGCTCCCCGGGAATCCTTTTCCCTCAGCTTCACAAAGAGGCTAAGAGGGAGGGTGTAAATATAAAGCTGAAAAAAAAAAGAGAAAAAAGGCTGGTAGTAGCTCTAGGGGTCAACTTGAAACAAAGATTTAAGCGTGTACGTGTGGCATTCACTCCAGAGTAGTGGAGCTGAGGGCAAGAAGGGGTAGCAAGAGAGACACGCCCATCCACTTGGCATTCCTTTTTCTGCTCACACACCACCTTCACACACTGGAAACAATCGCTGGTTTCTCACACGGTCTGATTCCTTTCCTGCACACCACTATGTATCTCACAGTCCCGCACCCGGCAGGCACCCTTTACAATCTTTTGTGTGTTTCTAGGGTCCACGTCTTGCCCACTCAACTCCCGCACGCGTTCACAACCCCTTGCAGAGCTCTTCCTTTGCACGCTCCCATTGTGCATAGACCTCTGTGCCTCATTACACCTGCAAGCCTTGGAC